AATAAAGCAATGCAGATGGGTAGAGAAAAGTGAACAAAGAAAACACATTTTCATTAAACAGTCCATCAAAAGTGCTTATTATCATTTTTTTAAGTTTTAAACAACACATACAACAAGTTTTACTTCCCATAATACTTAAAATGACCACCAAGGAGCATTCGATAATCATAGGTAGATAATTAATTAACTTAATCGAAGCTAAGCAGATATTAAGGTTGATTTGATTTGATCACACTTGCAGTCTTGTCTGTATTCATTTTCTGTGGAGGTTTCTGTGAGTAAGGTACACTAAAGATCCAGGTGCACCTTCTATTTGTAGAGTCCTCAAAAGTCCTCTCAGTGGTCCCATTTTAGATTGTTTTGGTGAAATCCTGGTCCAGTTGATTTCAGTGGCAAACTTCCATGAGACGTCTTTTGTAGGTTTGTACATTCAGGTGTAAAGTCCACATTCTATTTACTGCCATTTTAAGGATCATTCATATGACCAACAGGGCTGTCCCGGGGGGTGGGGTGCGAATCAGGGTGACTACCCTGGGCCCCACACTTTGGGGGGGCCCTGCAGAGCTGGGCAGAGTGGCTGCGGTGACTCTGTGCCACTGCCACCGGCTTCACGTCCAGCCACTTGCTACACACCCCCACCTCCCACCGCTGACACCGCCATTGCAGATGGTGGCGGCAGCTTCTTTGGGTGCATGGAATCAGAGCAGTGGTGGGTCCCCACATGGGCTGACTTGTCCTGGGCCCCGCACTTTGCTTAGGTCGGCTCTGATGACCAAGCAATGTAACTGAGAATCAGGCCCAACATTTTGCAGTCTAAGTTGAAAAAGGAGCAAGGCACATTTTAACAAAGGTGTAATGATGTGTCCAGGCATCAGGGGTAGCTGCCACAAACAGGGGCAGCAGTGACTTCCAGTTGCCACTACACCTTTGGCACAATCACATGACTATGGCAGTAGCCATTCCTTCCCTCCCCCTAAGTCAGCACTCAGGATGGCTACCTCAGTCACCTTACCCTAGTTACACCAGTGCATTTTAAACCAGGAGTCTACATGTCCACCCAAAAGACTTATGAAAGACATAAGAGATGACTTATGAAAGACAAGAGACCATAATCGTAAACATTTCCTGTATTTCCCTCATCTTTTAACTCATGGTACCTATACTGAAAGAATCAAAACCAAAGTGGTTTCTTTCTTCTCTCCTGCTTTTTTTTTAAATAGAAGATAGTCACCCAATCTGAAAACACAAATAACAATATGTTACTTAGGTAATCGGTCAAATAGGAATGTGCAGGTATACTCAGCTGTCACAGTGCGCAGTTCTCAAGCAATCTGAGCCTGAAATATCCTGGCTGAAAACATGTGTTTAAATAAATGTGAACTGTGTTCATATTGTGGAAACTGCAATCTCTTTGTTGGACAAGATGGAAACAGAAAAAAGCACTAAATTTAGCTGAAAAACTATTTGCTATGAATAACTGAGTTCATAGTCGATGTGAGATACTAACCTTTCTAATAGTATTTTGATGGGCAAAATAGTGAAGTGAATGTATCATTAATATTTATCATTAATACATCATATTCATTACATAGATAACAAGTTCTACCTTTGTGGTGGCTGATATGCAACATATTTACTTGAATATAAGATGGTCCCCCAACAATTAGCTTCTATATATGGAAAATTTATAAAGTTGTTATAATTTTCCAGGTAAAAAATCTAATTATTAGAGGTTTCACTTGAATTTTTCCCTTTCCCACTGCTACAGCAGGGAAAATAAATCTGAGGGGCAAGTAGACCCCTTGCCCTCTGCCCCCTCAACTTCTTCTGCCTGCAGCTGCTACCCCTTCCATCACCCCCTTCCCCCCGCACTGCCCCAACATCAGATTCTGCTCCGTCTGAGCACATGGAAGTGAGAACCAAATTTAAAAACACTGGGCACATTTACACAAGATGCTTAATGTGCAGAAGACTAATTCTACTGTACATTAGCATGACAGGCAAAGCCCATGCTAATGCACAGTAGATTTACTTTAATATGCACTAGGACTGCAAAAAAAATTAATCTGCACTAATAGCCAGTAGAGCCAATTAGAGTGCATTAAGGTAGTACCTGTCATTACAGATACTAAACTTAATGTGCTGTAATTATGGTGGATTAACAAATGTGTAGACACACCCACTGACTTTGAAATAAACATACTATAATTTGCATACAGTATCCATAGACATACTTCATCCAGAATTGATGTATTTAACCTTTTTGAAACTGCTATAAATTTTAGCATAGGTACTCCATAGATTCACTTTAAAGCAGCACTTTCATATTTGCATAATATTAGTCCAAAGTCAAAAGGCTTATGATTTACCATATAGTTCATTAGGCTGGGTCCAAGCAGAATCAACAGTGTTTCAAGTCACGGTGACCCCACAGCTAAGCACTGCTCAGTATGTGCGTGTACTCTAGATACTACCCACGAAGGATCCACATGCTAATTAGCCCCCACTCAAGACTGGAGCTGAGTGTTCTTGTCATGAGTCCTGGGATCTTCCAAAAATGTATATGCAGATCCTCATAGGAAACCTGGTCTGACTTCATGTGGGGGGCAGAGCCACATTACTGGTATGCAACAGGCTGCGGAGGTGACAGAGGGATTCTGGGTGTATTTTTTGGGCCTGTTTAGTAGGGCTGTGTGAAATGGCTATGTTTCATTTCCATTTCAGATTCAGCCATTTCAGAGGGACAGTGATTTGTTCCGGTGTTTCGGATCACTGTTCCATTTCGATTTGGCCGAATCTGTTTCGGAGTTTCAACACAGTTTCATCGCTGATATGGGGATTCGGATTGGCCGGGGAGAGGCAGGCACAGCCAGGTGGCTGCAGGTTCTCCTGTGGCACCTCTGGCTGTGTCTGCCTCTCCCTTGGCAGGGGGAGCTGTGGGACCAATGGTGATCAGGGTCTCTGGGGGCTCATAGAAGAGCCCCCCGCACAGCACGAGGCAGTGGGGGTCATAGGGGATTGTCCCCCCCCCCACCTGGCACCCGCACAGAAGCTACCCCAGGGTGCAGGTGCACCATGGCTAGGCAAGGCACTGTGTGCTGTCTGGGACCTGGGGCTGCTGGGGCTGAGTGGTTCCCAGCTCTAGCTGACAGGTGGAACCACCGCAAGTCCTAGACAGCGTATGGCACCCTGCCAAACCGCAATGCACCCACTCCATGCAATGGCTGCTGCGTGGGTGCCAGATGGGGGGCCTAGATGGCCATCTCTCCTGGCTTCAACTTAGGTCTAAAGTTAGTCCCGAGTGCTGCCAGCTGGCTCTGGCTTCAACTTGGGACTAAAGTTAGCCCACTGGCTGGCAGCCATGTGGCCAGAGGCTGGAGCTTCCCCCCAGTGGCCACAGGACCACCTGGCAGGCTGTTCTGACCTGGGACTAAATTTAGTCCCAGGTCATCTGCACATGTAGATGCCAGCCTATTCCTGCTTACAGTACTGTGCAGTAACCTACTGCACAGTAAATTTAAGCCATTGTAAATACACGTGTAGACACACCCAGAGAATATTTAGCTCTAGAACTTAGCCCCAGTTGAAACATATGGCTCTTCAGTGAGCTGGGTTAGTTTTCCAGCCTGTGTTTCTCATCTTGTCCACTGATTTTCTGTTACGCACTTTTCTTATTTGCTATCTATCTGTTTGGCACAGAAGAAGCCACATGAGAGCTCACTACCACCAAAGATACATTAAAAAGAGAAAAAGAAAGCAACAATTCAATAAAAAGTGACAGTGAGGTACACAGGGAAAATTCTTGGTTCTCACTTGTGGTCCACAGATCTGTGATGCTCCATGGGGCACTTTGAGGTGGTCTGCAGAGCTGTTTCTGTCACATTAGTAGTTTTAAAGCTCTGCCACTACTCAGTAGTTGTAACCCTATCCCTGAAGCTTTTCACAGCAGTAATACTTAGTATGCTAGTACCCCAAGGCCCCAACTTTAGGCTGTGTAGACACATTCAAATAATCTGGGAAAATTTTCCCTGTTTTGCTGTCCTGGTTGAGAAATTTGTCCAGAACCATGTGTACATCAGTCAAATGCTAAGGCTCTGAAAACTGGAGAGCTTGCAGTGCTGGCACTGTGCAGCTGGCAGGGAGGTGCGATGGGGGAAAGGGGTGGAAATAGGAGGAAGCTTAGCATACATTTCAACCTGCCCTACAGCCTCCCTGGGCATTTGTACACATGCTTGCGCTGTAGCACGGGGCATTTTTAAAAGCACCCAGCACTGTGGCGCATGCAATTGTATAAACGGTGAAATGTGTATCAGTGCTGAAAAAAATAGCAGCAGTACGTTTTTGAACTAAAACACGTCAGAGGTTTTTTTACTCTGGGAGAAGAAGTCTGAATAGTAGTGACTTTCCCAGGAGAGTGCCTGTAGAAGGCCTTAGTTTACCACAGGCTCTCCCCGTCCCCCTTCACACAAATAATAACAACATCACAACTACTGTAGTTTCAGACTCTGAGCTCTTGTTTGTTTGACAGGGTGTGGGATCGTGACCTGCTCTCTGACTGCTTCTGTAAAGGGACCCTGCTACACAGTGTTGGCAGGGAGGCAGACTGCAGAAAGACACGGGAGTTTGTGATTTTAACTGACCAAGCATTGTGGATTTGGTGATGACAGTTTAACTTGCCAGACTCTCAGATTTTATGGCACTGACATATTGCACCTCTTGTTCAGAAGGAATGTCGCAAAAAATGTTCTTACCCATGATGAGGTACCCACTTCAGAAATGAATATTTAATTCGTTCTTACCCCTTCCCCTTTTTTCCCCTTTCAAAACAAACATATAGGATCAGTTTCTGATGATCTTGCTATAGCTGCCACCTCCCAGTGGATCTCCCTGGTTTCAGTGTGGGTATTCATGGAAGACAGAACATTTTGGCATTGGTTGGAATCTGGCCTTTCATTTGGAAGGATGACATCCATTAACGCTTCTGTTTTACTTTTTCACAGCTTTTATAACTGGGATAGAAATATCAGCACTTCAAATTCCAGCCCAAATTACCAAGTGATTGCAGAAAATGCCTGTGGATTGCTCTTCAAGAATAAATGTGACAGGAAAATAATAAATGTGGATCCTAAGGTAATTTTTTTTCAATGTTTAAAGTTTCCTTTATGCAAGGCCACTTGATTCTAACTCTGTTGAAGTCCAGTTGCAAACTTCCTGTGTATAAGTACGCGTCTTCTATTTAATATTCACTCCTGCTCTCTAAGTAATAGTCTTTTTTTATTAGCACAGCTCGCCTCTGCACCCTGTAAAGAATAAAACTGACCAAGCCTCATTTATAACTGCAAGTGTCTAGCCTCTGCTTTTGTGAAGGAAGCTATAAAAAGACCAATAGGACTATGCAGCAAGACCCCTTCTTCAGAAGGAAGCTGGAATGAGAGGCTTACAGATTCACACTCTCACATACATGCTTGCTAGGTAATGTTCCCTTACCAGCCCTAAGCATAGTAGTGCAGGGGTGTAACTTGGAATTGAAGAAGTAGCAAAAAATTGTTTTGTAACTCTACTTAAACATCCTAAAATCTGGTCTGTCCACTAAAATATGCAGTCCCCTTTAGCTATTTATATGGCTACGGCAACTTCAAGAGAACCTCCCATCTTGTATTCTCCCCACATCTACCTCAATCTCTGCTTGGAAAAGCAACACATAAACCTCCCTGTCTTCTTGCCTTTCTATCCAGCACTTCAGCATCACATGAGGAGATGAAAAGAAGCTTAGCCCAAACTCCTGCTTCTGCACTGAGTGAAAACTGTACAACTGCCTTCTCTCTGACTAATGCCTTCTTTCCTTGCCTGAACCCCTAGCCAAAAGGGCAGTTATTGGGAAGGAGCCTCAAACCCCTACAAGGCAGTCCCACACACTAGCTGTGGAGGCCCCAAATTACCAGGGGAGGTCTATTTACTCTGTGAACCAAGGTACCCATTTCCCAATTTATCACTCCATCTACCACCAAAGGCCTTCCATCCACCCAAGCCCCCTATAGTCAGAGACTACAGGATCTGTCTGTTTCCATTCCAGCTAGCATAGGCCTCAGGTCAGTCTCCAGCCTAATGCTGCTGCCTCCAGAGGAGTCTGAGTGAAGTGCTGAGTCAGAGGACACCTAATGGGACTGAATGGGTGTGCTTTAGTTAATGCACTTTAGTTAATGCACAATAAATCTAGTACCTCCATTGCGAGGTACTTGGGAAATGTGCATTAGCTTGTTTTAACGTACATTAACTAAAGAGCATGAGGAGCTTTTACACATGCTCGGGGGGTGGGGTGTGCTTTAATTAGAGCGGCTCCAAGAGTCTCTCTAATTAAAGCACCGACGCGTCTCGTGTATCAGTGTCCCCACGCTTAAAAATGGCGATGAGGGTGCTTGAACTAAAGCTTGTTTAATGAGCTTTAGTTCAGGCACCCCTGCTGCTGTTTTTAAGTGCGGGGACACTGATGCATGAGATGCAGGAGGCTGATGGACCACAGCAATTGCCACACTTCAGCAGACTTGATTAATTGAATCTGCTCCAACACACTGGAATTCTAGCACATTGGAGCAGCTTCCATGCTTGTGTATAGGTGCCCATGGATTTTAAGTGATGCTTAATGCGCATTAGCCTATATTAATACACATTAACTAAATAGCACATTTTAATGATGCTTTAATGTACATTAAAATAGGCTAATGTGCATTAAAATGCATGTGCAGACGCACCCAATGGGACGTAGGTAGGAACTAAGAGATTCTAGAAGGGCTGGTAGATTTGGATATGGGATGACTAAAGGATTGGAGGAGTGACAGATTATGGGATAGATCAATTTAAGTGTGGGAAGGGTTATAGGGTATTTTGCCCAGAGAATATCACAAGAATGTGGCAATATGAAGAGTTGCTCCTAGTTAAAATTGTAAGTAATATATGACTTGGTTTTCTGGGTCCCAATTGGTCCCCGGTTAAAAATTAAATTTTCATTTCTGAAGTGGGTACCTCATCATGGGTAAGAACATTTTTTGTGACATTCCTTCTGAACAAGAGGTGCAATATGTCAGTGTCATAAAATCTGAGAGTCTGGCAAGTTAAATTGTCATCACCAAATCTACAATGCTTGGACAGTTAAAATCACAAACTCCTGTGTCTTTCTGCAGTCTGCCTCCCTGCCAACACTGTGTAGCAGGGTCCCTTTACAGAAGCACTCAGAGAGCAGGTCACGATCCCACACCCTGTTAAACAAACAAGAGCTCAGAGTCTGGAACTATAGTAGTTGTGATGTTGTTATTATTTGTGTGAAAACAATGAGAAGGTTAGCAGTTCAGCACCTCTGAAAGACAGGGCATTCATTTCTGTACTTATACATGGTTTTCTGTACATGACTGCAAGTAGTTAAGCTTGAAAATGTTGACCCAATTGATCTGTCTGAAATCCAAAAGGTAAATCCAGGCAAATGCTTCCTGCTCTTGCATTATGTTTTATAGAGCCATAATACAAATGGATCTTACTTTAATTGTCTACATAAAGCATAAAGACAAATTGATTGATTGATACTGAATTTAGGCTACCTATCAAACAAAATATCTAATATGGAATAAAATCTGTGCATGCGTTTGTGTGTGTGTGCATGTGCATACATTCACACATGCTTAAAAATTACTACTTTGTGTGTGTAATTTGGCTTGCTGTTTTGCTTGTGTCAACAAAGAGCCATAAACAGCCCAATGCTAATAAAAGGTTCTGATTGTACTGGAAAAAGTAAAGCACCTCATGTGGCCTGGCAAGTGTGCAACCAAAGAAAAGGGGGAGTCATAAGTGTCTCAAAATCCTCATGGAAAGAAACCCCACCAAAGGATTGTGGCCTTGAAGACCAAAGTGATTCTGACAGTGTGAGGCTTAAACACTGGTTTAAATATAATTAATGTATTTAAACATACATGCAAAAGAAATGTATCCATATGTGCTCCCTCTGGTGGATATATATGTCATGTGCATAGCAAAATGGCTTTGTCCAGGGCACAGAAGTATTTGCAATTAAACAAGAAAATACTGATGCTGGAGTAAAGCACTGGGAAAAGTGAGGGGGGATTTATTGTTATGAATGACAAAAATGTAATCAGGTGACATTGTTATAAACCATAGTTTATCAGTGAAAACAAATATCACTTGCATATTATCAACAAGACATATACATGCTCTGCTTTTTCCTAATAAAAAGGTTTGATAATTCTATTAAAGCTAATAAGATGTTTGGCAACAGCTCCACTGGGAGAAGGATAGGGTTCCTTATTCTCTAAAACTGAAATGTTATTCAAAAATCATTCAGTGAAACATTTTTTTTTTTCTAAATCAAAATAAATGGAGGGAAAAAAATCACCCGAACCATCCAAAGTTGGATTTAGGATACATTAATTGCTACCAGTTCTCTCTTAGTGTGATGTTAAGACTGAACAGACAACTGTATTGCAAAGTTAAGGGTACAGACTTCCAAGGAGCCTAAGAGAATTAGGCACTGAAGGTCCAAAGCAATTGGGCGTTTCACTGCATTAGGCTGCAAATTTCCCAATCAGAAGAGTATGACTTTATGTGCTTATACACAAAGCAGAGGGTGATGGAACCTCTGACTCAGCAAACCTGGTCCAGTGATAAAAGGGAAAAAATACAGATTCCTGAGACCACTTTTGAAAATCACTATTAAATCCCCAGTGGTGTCATAAAATCATAGAAAAGTAGGGCTGGAAGGAATCTCTAGAGGTTATATAGTCCAACCCCCTGCCAGAAGTAGGATCATCCCTCCCCAAACCATCCCATACAAATTCTCGTCTAACATATTAGTAAAACTATGCTGTCAACCCTGCTACACAGCCACAAGGTGTAACATGCCACAGGTAAATCAGGGGACCATGGCAGCCAGTGCAAGGGTTTTTAAAGTACCAAGGAAAAGGGTCAAATTCCCAACTACAGAGAAAAGCAAAATCCCCCATAATCCATACCAGTCTGGTGCTATTTAAACCAATCACTAAGATGGAACAGAAAAAGCAAACTTCTGACAGAGGTCTTGAATTCCAGCCAAGTGTACCAATCTTGGCAGAACTAAAGTGACACAAATGTGAGTTCCTTCTTCTGTTTAAAAATGCTGCAGTGTCCACAGGTTGCTTGTTTGGCCTCAGGCCTTTTTACATGTATGATGGAGCGTGACTTCACAACCCTGAACCTGTGGGGTTCTGCTGGATCTCCATTGATTGCAGGGCCTTGATAAAAACTGACCTCCTTGTTTTAAAGCATTGTCCCCAGAGTTGTTCCAAGCAACCTCTTCAACTTAGAGTCAGCTGGCCTAGAAAAGAAAAAGAGAGGACAGAGGCAATGTCTACAGCTCATGTAGAAATACCGAAACTAACTTTTACCTAGCTAGCTCATGTAATACTAAGAGTAGCCACATTTGCTCAGTGCAGACTCATTGCCTAAGCTTTTACTGTGCTTAAGTGGGTTTTGCACCATGCACTCTGAGTTCCATGCTGCTTCTGTTATATTGCTAGCAGTATCCAGACTACCTAAAATTAACTGAGATATGTCTACTCTAGCTGCAAGATCAACAATGACTACAATGTAGACATACCAGTTAGTCTCTGTTCTTTCCTGAATCTCTTCTGGAGCAGGGCTGGTCTCCACTCCACCCTCCATGTCTAAGACCAAATTTTGCCTTTAGGTAATCCCAAATGCTTCTTCCAGGTTGCACTGAAATAACAGAGAAGAGAAATTGGCCCAAGGCCACCACTGCTTATGCAAGAATCTTCTTTTCTGCAGCTCAGCTCATCTGGAATGTCCATAATCTCAATCTCATTACAAATCTCAGCTGAGAAAAAAAAATCTTCCTCATTTTCACCCTTTTATTTCTGATTTAATATACTAGTACATACCTAACTCCATTATTGTTACTTAGTATTGTAAAATATTTGAAAACTATGTGAAACAAAGATGTTACATGCTATTCGGTTGAATGTAGGTTCCCCAGTCTGAACCATAGTTGAAGGCTATTTAATTTGCCACATGTAATTGGTGGAACAAAATGGATTATAACCTTTATAAACAATGCTTTTCTGTAGTGAATTGATTATATAATTCTGCTCTGATTGCCATTTTTAAGTTTGACATCTGAAGTCTTTAGAGTATAGATTGAGTATGACAAACACCCATGCTTTGGTTCCTCTCAAAACCAATATAAAGTAAGATGGGCAATCATTTGTTTGGGTTTGTACAGAACTACACAGAACTAGGATGATGGTTTCTTTGAAGTTCTTTCCATGAAAGATGGTTGCACATGAATAGCAACAGTATGAAATATCAAATTATATGCATTTTAAAATAAGTGCATTGGTTTGTTAGAAAGTCAAAAATGCATACTTAAAAATGTGTTTGGTTGCATTGAAATTGGGCCACTGGTGTAACTTCCTGCAGCTGTAAAACATCTGTAATGAATAACTAGATATTCTTTTTCAGCATGAAAGATATTCTTTTTCAGCACTTAAAGAGCCACACCCAGCTAACACTTTTGCTCACTTATGATAAAAAACAATATTATATTAGTACCACCTCCATATGTACTATTTTGCATGTTGCAAAGTATAATGTAGCATAAGATACATGTATGAAAAGCTTCACAAGTTCTATCTGTCTTAGGTTCCAATGCTGAAATCAAGAGGAGTTTTACCATTGGCTTCTATCAAACAAAGTTACGTTAATCCTCAGTACTTTTTTTATGAGAGCCCTTCTTTTATTACTTGATTGTATGAGGATTACTGGCCACAAGATTCAGCAAGATAAATTAATACTCCTAAATGAAATTACACTTATCATGGGTATTAATCTTCATTCAAGAAGCCCTACACCAATCCTAGCTAGATTTGGTGACTTCCATGTTTCAGAAGAATGAAGAAAAAGGCCATAGCAATTTTTCTCTTTTTGTTGTTTGGTTATCTATAACATTCTATGTTTCAGGTTTACCCAGGAGACAACACAACTCGGACACCAATTGAAACAGATCTTTACCTCCAAGTAGTAATCTATGACCATGTCCTCAGAAGAAAGATCTAACAAGTTTATTGGATCGTCCTTCGAACATCTGTTTACCAAGTTAGGCCATTGTAATTGTAAGAGAAATAAATACATTTGAAGAGAACTTTACCAGGTGTGGGACTGGTCTTGTACTGTAATGGGAAGGGTAATTTTTGGTCTGCCTGAGAATTGGATTGCCCTGAACTCTGTGATGACTGCAAAATAGAAGACCCCACCCTGCTGTGCCTGTTTTTACCCATGGGGGTACAATTATAGACCCTAAATCACAGTCACTGCTCATTCCAAATGCCCTGGGCCACATGACACTGAAAAGGCACCTGGAAGGAATGCATGAATTTGTGGCACAAACGCATCTATTCTGCACAAGCCAAAAAATGGGATGAGAAGGAGAGTATAAGAGAGTATTCACAAATAAGACGAATAACAGCAGAGAATTCAGAGTTCCTCTTGAAGCTTCCTATTGGGCAATGTGGCTCCTCTTTCTAAGGCTGGACGCACATGATATAAATGAGCCTATATCATATGGAGTTGGCCCTTTGGAAGGCTGCCCCCAAACTAGTCCCAAGAGGTCTCTCCTTGGAGAACAGTGGATATTTTCAGTGCTCTAGTGAGTAATTGAAGGCCACTTTTCTTCTCTTCCTGCTTTAACACAAGCTCTAATATCCTTTGTTATAGAAGCTGCCTCTATGTACAAGACTGCAAGTTTCAGCATCAGTTCAGTGGCTCAAGGAACTCTTATCTGTTTTTCTGCATATATAACACATCTGGTAGACACAACAGTGGACACCTCCATCTTGAATAATATGTAGTCACTTGGTGAGTAGAGAATAGAAGAGAGGGAAACCACTGAACTAAACAGCAAAAACAAAAACAAAAACAGGTAGAAAGTAAAGAAAGATTATTAGGCAGACAAAGAAAATGATGAAATAGGAAGAAAACTAAAGGATGAAGTTCAGTGCAGCCAAATACAAGGTACAAGACTTAGGGAAGAATAATTAGAAGGACAAATACAGAATGAATAACTAGATCTGAGAAGGATCTTGCTGAGAAGGATCTTGGGATTGTAGTGGATCTCAGACTCAACATAGTTAAGTAATATAATCCAGCTGCAAAAAAGGTGCATGCAGTTTTGGGCTGCATCAACAGGGGCACTAGGTGTGAGAAAATGGGGTGTGATGATGCTACTCTGCTTGGCATTAATTAGGCCTCATCTAGAGTACAGTTCTTGATTTTCTACTTTAAACAGGATGTGGAGAAATTATAGAGGGTCCAAAGACAGGCAGCAAAAATGATAAAGGGTTTGGAAGGCAAGCCATATGAGAAATTGAGAAAAACTAAGCAAGTTTGGCTTGCAGAAAAGGCAAATAATGAACTGTATCAGTTTTCCAGTATCTGAAGGGCTGCCATAAAGAAGAGGGAGAACAACTTGTCTTTCTCACTGCAGGCACTAGGACACATAGCAGTGACTTGAAATTGAAGCATATTAGGTTTGGATTGGCTATCAGGAATATCTTCTTCACTGTTACAACATTGAGGTAGTAGAAGAGACTGCATAGGGAAGTTGTGGGCTGTCCTGCATTGAAGATTCAAGAAGAGATTAATTGAGCATTGATCGGGGATGATTTGGGAGTAGGAATGGTTCCTGGATAAAAGCTTTTGCTCCTTTACTTAGGGTCAGACCAATAGCCACAGGTGGGATTAAGAAGGAATTTTACCCTGTAGTCAAATTTGCATGGATTTTATGAGATTTTGCCTTCCTCTGTGGCATGGGTCATGATCCTCTGCCATGATCCTCTTGAGCATATTTCAGGGGCTGCTTCCTGTCCTTGCAATGTGAGGACACTGTTCTGCATCAACAGGAGATTTACCTGTGGCAAGTTAAGATGTTGTTGATGTTTCACACATTATGCCTCATAATTGTGTAAGAGGGCTGTTCCTGAAGTTTTTAAGAATAGGTTAGACAAACACTTGTCTCATATGGTTCAGATAGGGTTGATCCTGCCTTGAGCAGAGTGTTGGACTAGATAACAACCTTAGGTTTCATCCAGCCCTACTTTTCTATACATCTATGTAATCAAAGACAGAAAATGACTGAGTAAAATTCCACTGGCTCTGTTGAGTAGGAGGGCATATTCTCATAATGGTGTCTCTTGGCCATAAATCCATTAATCTGTAAAGGGCAAGACAAAGGAAAGAGAAAACATGACTAGGCTGGGGCTTATCACAAGGTGGGGTTTATCCATCAATCCATCAAACATTACCCTTTGAAAAAGGCTGGGAACCTCTGATTTAGCAGTTTACATAGTAAAAGGCCCTTTACTAAGAAGAGAGGAAGTGTTCCAACAAGTACAAAGTGCAAGTTGTTTCTTCAAAGCTGCAATAATTTGTGAGAGAGGCTGTTTTCTTTCCAGTAAAAAATTAAATACAATTTCCATATATAATAAAATGGCTTATAATAACATCTTGCTTTTATGGATAACACTTCATCCCAAAGCCCTATAAATGTTACAAGAGATAAGCAAATTTTATGCTATGATCCCTTCACTCACCACTGAAATGCAGCCAACTCTGGGATGAAACACTCCAGTGCATTGTAACATAACACTCCATCTTAGAAATGCACTATTGTGACATATTACAGATAAACAATATATGTAGTTATCATTATATTTATAGTTTTGTTTCAAAATCATTATTGGATTTTTTACTGGGTTATTATTATTGTTTTTTCCCCTTAGTTTTGCAACATGACATACATCTGTTATGCTATGCATCTTGAGACGTATACATATAAACATAAACATCTTACAATGCATTTTATCTGGAATGAGGTTTTTTGCAAAAAGGCTTTGTTGGTTTGTAATAAAAATATAAGGCCTGATTCTCCCTCCACTCCTGCTAATGTAAATCAAAAGTAGCCTGTTGAAGTCAGTAAAGTTACACTTATGCACTCATGCAAGTGACAGGTATTTCAAACTAATACCCTAAGGGTGCATCTACATGTCATCCTACATCACCGTACCAATGCACTATGTCTCCATACGATGCACTATGGTGATGTAGTGATCATGTGAATCTACACGTGACTGGTAGCTACTTCACCATAGTGGCATGCTCCCCCCATTTTAACATGCCACTAAGGTGAAGTAGTGGCTAAAACTAACCATGTGCCACATGCATGGCTCATTATGGGTGGCTACTGTGCCATGTTTTAGTACTTCCATTTGGAAGTTCCAAAAGGAAGTACTAAAACATGGTGCAGTAACAGCATCACCACAGGGTGACATGTAGGTACACCCAAAATGTAATTTTATATCCATCTGCCTTTATTTAGATCTTTCTATATTTTTCTGAAGGACTTTGGGCAAAACACATAATCTGAATCATGATGCATGATTATCAAAAGAAGCTTAATGTTTGGTCCTGATTAAAGACCTAAAGTTTCCCTTCAAACAAATTAAAAACTGTTGATACCAAGGGAAACACAGATGTGTACAGACATCTCCCAAATTCAAATGATGGTTTTATACAGGCTTTGGTTATAGATGGTGGGACTGGTTTATTTCTTTCACATTTTTTCCCACATAGATTTTATCCTTTACCTGGGTCTCTCCACTTGTTTCCTTCCGTGGTCACTGTCCTGTCTTCTTGCGTCTGCCTGATCCTTTTAGTTTGTGTCCCCATAGCATCCACTTATATCTCTATTTGTGTTTGTCCAAGAACTATAGTCTGTACTGACCATGTGGTAAACTGTTAAGTGGAGAATGGGAGGGCTGACCTTGCCTTTTGTAGCGTGCTGATACATTGCAAGTGAAGAATGCTCTCTTCGCAAGTACCCATCCCTGGCAAGGGCGATGGAGAAGTTAGGAAGGGGTGAGGTGACTCCTGGAAAGATGAGAAATATCCCAATTTCAATTTCAGTGGTGAAACCCCAGCAAACCCATTTCTCTGTGCCAGGAAGCTTTCTACCCCTTTGGCTTCTTCACACTGTTTCATCATGTGCACACCTGAGGAAAACAGATTTTCCTGTTAATTTTTCTTGCTTTTAAGATAGCATCCTGGGTTCCCATACACAGGACTCAGAGAGACTATTGTGCAAAAAGAAAGTCAGGGTCCAGTCATCCTGGAAGATGCACAGGCAGCGTTCCTATTGACCATGATGGAGTATCGTGCACACATCTCTCAAGGTAAAAAGGCTTTAGGGTTTTTTTGTAGGCTGGCTTATATGTAGAAGTCTCTGGTCATACATGTTAGCCAGTCTGAGCAGTAGCCCCCTTTTCTGAGGCACATGGACTCCCAAGTGTCCCCATGATGAAGGTTTCTTCTCCACCAGATTCTCATGGAGGCAGAGAAAGACCTTCCGGAGGGGCTCAGAGGGAGGTCCATATGATGCCAAAAATGGCAGAGGCAAGGCTCCTACCTGGATTTGGCCAAAGCAAGACCTGGAAACAGCAAGGCAAGTGAATTTTCTTTTGCACTGTTTTCTACTATACTTCCCACCGAAGGCAAATGTTTACTCCAATGGACAGCAAGCACTACAAATGAACTGCAAAAGGGAATGCAGTTCTCTGAGCCTCTCCTGAAAGGTTTTCCTTTTCAAGGTAGAAAAGAGAACACCCCCCCCACCCCCGCTGCAGATAAGTGGCAACTGGCAGATAAGAAGTTTGTGAGAGAGAAAATGAACAAAGGTAATTTTAATTGGTATGTTTCTGGTCTAATCAGATCTTAAAGTCATAACAAATCTAAGTTGGGAATGTGGAATGGAAATTATCCTAATTATCTGGAAGGTGAAGGATATTATCCAAAAATAAAACATTATAAAAAAAAGAGAGAGATGAAATAAAAGTAAATAGAAATAAACTCCAAAATATGCGGAAATCATTTCTCCAAGGTGAATTTAGCTTTCTCCACCTTATGTCCCATAAATCAACACTTTTGATGTTGCTAAATTACCACAAGATTAGGAGAACACCGTGCCTATGCCTGCAGGGAAGCAGAAAGAAATTTGGATTCAAACAGGCTTTGAATTGCAGCCTGTCATGATCAGAGAATGTACCACTGAAAGAGGAATAATTGTCCTGTGTGTCTTTAAAGCC